CTTGCCCAAGGTCATCCAGCAGCTGCAAGTGGAGTGGGGACTCAAACCCAGTTCTCCCAGATTACAGTCCGTGCACTTAACCGCTACACCAAACTGCAGGGAATCAAAATGCGGCCCACAGAGAGTAGTCCTAGAGATGTAAAATTTCCGGAAATTTTGAAGCTCGGAAAAAAACCCGTTTTTTTTTTCCTGTTTTTTTCCAGAAAAAAACGGAAATTTTCGGGAAAATGGAAACAAATGCCACATTAGCATTTCTTTGGTCTTTTCTAGATTGAAAGTCATTCTGTTATTTTAGGAACATAAAATATGACTATGGATATTTTTACTTGGCATGAAATTATCACAACTAGCCTATTAAAAATATAGTGTATCCAAACAATTATTTCAAACAGAATACCCACCCACATGCAAAAACAAAACTGAAACTTTTTTATTTTCTTCTGACAATCGCACCTCCTAAAGGAAGAAATGCATCTTGTTCTTGCATTGGAGAGTTCAGTTTGTAACCTAGGACTTTCTTGTCCTCAGTGCACAGAAATTAGATCAATCTGATACCATATGTATATATATTTTAGAAATGATTTGGAAAATATTTGAACACCTTGTCTTAAAATATTTTATTCATCATGTTAAAATAAAACGTTCCATAATCAATTTTTTTTTCTTTTCTTTTTTCAATTTTTCCAATTTTTCGGAAAAAAACAAAAAAGGTTTCAGGAAAAAAAACGTTTCCCCCCCGAATTTTCCCGTTTTTTTTTCCGTGCCTTCACATTTCTAAGTAGTCCCAGATGTGACTCTTTTCTGCGACATCAGAAGAAAATCAAGGAGTGATTCCTGACACAGTCTTCATTCAGCACCATTTTGAAAGTCTTTTTAGGTTTCCCTGTCAGATCCCCCAAACTGCTTTGGGCAACCACAAAAGAAGCACCATGGCTAGGATCAGAACGAGTCCCGTATCCCTAAGTAAATGCTTCAGGGCGTACGTTTTGGGTTTCCGTCCATGGCCCCGGGTCTTAAACCACTCCACCACTTCTTGTAGGCTGTGCTGCTCAGGTTCGTAGCCTAGCTCCTTCTCGGCCTTTTCCAGACTGAAGTAATGCGTGACACCGGTTTTGTACACTTCCGTGCGAGTCAGGAGGGGCTGGAAGTTATACAACCGGCCCACCACAAAATGAACCATCTCGGTGAGAAAAGCAAAGAAGTAAATGAGTGAAAGGGGCAGGCGGAGTGTCGGGAATGCATAGCCCAAATCTTCCGCTAGGGGGCGGAAAAACTCAAAGTTGTTCACCGGTCGACCGTCTGAAATGAAGTACGCCTGTCCTGCTGCGACGTGCCCCCGAGGGGCTCCTAGTGCCTCTGCTGCTAAAATGTGAGCTTGAACCAGATTATCGACATGGACAAAGTCCACCAAACTGCTGGGATCCCCGTACACAAACCGAAACCACCCCTGTTCAATGTAGCTAACGATTCTCGGGAGGTGTCTCTGTTCTCCAGGTCCGAAGATACCAGCAGGTCTCAGAGCGCAGGTCCTCAGTACCTCTTCTCCATCTTCAGAGAAGGTCCCGTTTGCTTCCAGAACCCTCATCTCTGCTAGAGCTTTGGTTCTTGAATAGTGGTCTGGATGAAGGTGGAGAGGCAGATAAGGCAACAGCTCGTTTCCGTTTTCAATTACTTGGCCCCCAAACACCACATTGTATGTGCTTGTGTAAATCAGCTTCGAGACACCGTTTTTCCTACAAGCTTGGATGACGTTCTCGGTCCCTCCCACGTTGACATCTTCTATAAGTTTACGGTTCAGCTGCTCCCGGCCGGACATTCCGTAGGAGGCAATATGAAAGACGCAAGCCATGCCTTGGACAGCTCTTTCCAACTCAGAGATATGCCGGACATCACCCTGTACAAATGTCACACCTTCTGGCATCTCTTGGATGGGCTTGGAGACATCGAAGAGAATCACATCCACTCCTCTTTTGGACAAGGCACAACCTAAGCTAGAAGATGACAGGAAACAAGTTTAACGGAAAAGGACTGCAGAACAGGAGAGAACTGGCTGATGGGATGGAGGGCATCAGAAATGATTGGACAACCAATGTAGACATGCGGTTCTAATTAAGTTAACAATAATGGTGTGCTGTCAAGATGCCACCAACTCACGGTGACCCCAAGACCATTGGGTTTTCAAGGCAAGGGATGAGCAACGGTGGTTTGCCATTGCCGGCTTCTGCATAGCAACCAGGGATGGGCACAGACCAAATAAATGGAGGTTCGTATCGGTTCGTGGGTTTCACGAACCACCATGGACCTTTCCATTCAACGAACTGGTTTGTGGTTCGCGAGGTTTGGTGGTGGTGGCTCAGACTGAGTCCACAGACACAAACCCCACTGTTCACACTGATGCAGATGACTACTAGTCCCTTCCAGCTCCCTTCCCAGTCTCTGCCTGTCTAACTTCTTCTCTCCTTCTCTCCCTGACTGCCTGCTACGAAGTAAACAGAACTGCTTGTGATGGAGGAGGAGGAGGAGAAGGAGGAGATGATTCACCCTTCACTACCCAAAGGAGTCTCAGAGTGGCTTACAAACTCCTTTCCCTTTCCCTCCCCACAACAGACACCCTGTGAGGTAGGTGGGGCTGAGAGAGCTCTTTCCAGAGCTGTCCTTGACAGAACAGCTCTGACAGAACTAGGGCTTGCCCAAGGCCATCCAGCCAAGTGCAAGTGGAGGAGTGGGGAATCAAACCTGGTTCTCCCACGCACTTATCCACTATACCAAACTGGCTCTGAGTCAAATAGCAAACCATTACACAAAACTGAGTCAAATAGCAAACCCTAGTTCATACAGTCATAGTGCTACGATCCTAATCCCCACTGCAAAGACACAGGAGCCAAGGCTGTTACAAAGATTTAATGAAGTCAGAGACACAGTGCTACTTTTGAGACTTCAGGCAAGACAATTAGCATTTGGAGTCAATCCATTAAGTGACCAAAATAATTGAAATGCTTCCCTCCCCATCTCTCCACCAAATTGCATTGCTGCTAAATATGGCTGCAGCTTTATTGCTCTATCGATTGCAAAGTAATGTTACTAACCGGAAACCGAAATAACCGCCTCCTCCTGTAATGAGGACTGTTTCCTTGACGGAGTTTCCCGCATCCATATTTGGCTTCTTGTTGCTATCTTAAGCAAATGGATCTATAAATTAAAAAAAAATCATAATAGAACCATTACGTTTTTATTATTTTTTTATTTTAATGTAGCTTTTAATGTATTGTAGCCTAAACATGACATGCTTTGACTGTGTATTTTTTCCAACTCCCCGAGTGGTCCTTCTTTTAACTGAAACCTGTTCCCAAGGAGGTTTACAAAAAAAATTTTGAAAGATGCTGATATAAAACAATCCAATTCAAATAACTGAAGTGATAAAATCAAATAAAAGGAGGACAAAGCAATGGTTTAAAAAACAAAACAAAAACAAACAACTTCCCAAATCCTTTGCTATAAAAAAATGTCTGCAGCTATCAGGGCTTTTTTTTGTAGAAAAAGCCCAGCAGGCCACACCCAACATCAGGAACTCATTAGCATAGTAGGCCACACCCTGACAGCCCAGCACATTAGCATATTAGACCACACCCCCATGTCACCAGAAGTGTTGTCATCCAGCCACACCCACCTTTTGCTTCTTATTCTGTTTACCTTGTTTGTGGTCAAAACCCAGGGCTTTTTTTGTAGCAGGAACCCTTTGCATGTTAGGCCACACACCCCGAATGTAGCCAATCCTAATACGTTTCTGCTGTTGGGTGTGGCTTATTATGCTAATGAGTTCCTGCTGGGCGTGGCCAGCTCGGGAGCCAGCCGGAACTCCGTTCCTGTGCGTTCCTGCCCAAAAATAGCCCTGGCAGCTATCTATGTAAAAAGAGCACAGAGAGATACAGGAAACTTGACAGATCCTCAGACCAAATGCTCCTGCTAAGCTGTGGAGTCTGGTGAGCAAAAATTCTACTTTGTGAGCTACTGGCATTAAACCTGTGAGCGAGCAATTTAGCTACTGCATAAATCTGTTTGCTCTGGAGCCCTCCTTCCTGAGCTAAGATAAAAATGCGTGAGCCAGAGGCTAAAAAACTGTGAGCTAGCGCACACTGCTTAGAGGGAACACTGAAGTCTCTGACCCAAACCAAACCTCTAGGCTGCCCCAGACTGTGGAATTTCTTGTCCCCCCAAGTGCTTCATCCTACCCTTTATTCGCCGGCTATGGAATCCTAAACAAAAATACACCTTTCTAAACTCACTGAACGGATTTAGAAGGAAAGGGCCGCGGTGGCTCAGAGGTTAAGAAGGTCTGTAGTTCAGCAGTTCAAGACCCGAGTGCTGCGTGACGGAGTGAGCTCCCGTCTCTGCCAACCTAGCAGTTAAAAAGCAAAAAATTGCAAGTAGATGAATAGGTAACGCTTCGGTGGGAAGGTAACAGCGTTCCGTGCGCCTCGCCGTTTAGTCATGCCGGCCACATGACCACGGAGAAGTCTTTGGACAGCGCTGGCTCTTCGGCTTGGAAGCGGAGATAAGCACCGCTCCCTCAAGTTGGATTCGACTGGCTTTCGATCAAGGGAAACCTTTACCTTTTTAAACTCCATTCAGGGTGACCTAGGGCCATTTCCCCTCTTTCTCTCAGCCCAACCTACCTCACAGGGTTTTTGTGAGGATAAAATAATGTAAGCTCCCCCTTCCCCGGATTCCATGGAGGGATGGCAGTAAAAATGGGACGGGTACATGTATACACGCACATTGTCTCGATGGAGCAGGGCCATACTCCATCTTGTAAAGCATTCTGGGGGATACCAGCCTCTGCCTGAATTTGAACAACCGTTCTCCTTGCTCGATTTCTAAGGAGAGGTGCGGGGGCTCGCTCACATCTTTAATGCCGGTAGCTCACAAAGTTGAATTTTTGCTCACAAGACTCCACAGCTTAGAGGGAGCATTGCCTGGGAGCGTCCACAAACCCAGGGGAACTGTAGTCTGGAAATGAGCTGTAATCCCGGGAGATCCCCTGGTCCCACCTGGAGGCTGGCAACCCTATAATAACAACAGCACCAGGTCACATGAACACATGAAACTGATTTATACTGAATCGGGCACTTGGCCCCTCAAAATCAGCATTGTCTAGTCAGACTGGCAGCGGCTCTCCAGGGTCTCAGGCAGAGAGGTCCTTCACATTGCCTACTGCCTGGTCCTACTAACTGGAGACACCAAGGATTGAACCTGGGACCTTCCACAAACTAAGCAGATGCTCCACCACTGAGCCACAGCCCCACTTCATGGCTCTCCAAGGTCTCAGGCAGAGGTCCTTCACATCGCCTACTGCCTGGTCCTTTTAACTGGAGACACCGGGGATCGAACCTGGGAGCTTCCACAGACCAAACAGATGCTCCACCACTGAGCCACAGCCCCACTTCATGGCCCTCCAAGGTCTCAGGCAGAGGTCCTTCACATCGCCTACAGCCTGGTCCTTCTAACTGGAGACACCAGGGATTGAACCTGGGAGCGTCCACAAACCAAGCAGATGCTCCACCACTGAGCCACAGTCCCATTTCATGGCTCTCCAAGGTCTCAGGCAGAGGTCCTTCACATCGCCTACTGCCTGGTCCTTTTAACTGGAGGCGCTGGGGATTGAACCTGCAACCTTCTGCACACCCCCCCAAAAAAAAGCTCTTCGACTGAGCCACAACCCCTCCCAAGCTCCCTTATAGCTGCGGTGGCTGAACTGCAGGCTGTGGAAGGTCGGTAGTTCAGCAGTTCGAGACCCAGGTGCCGCATGACGGAGTGAGCTCCCATCACTAGTTCCAGCTCCTGCCAACCTAGCAGTTCGAAAGCAAGAAATTGCAAGTAGATAAATAGGTACCACTTCGGTGGGAAGGGAACAGCGTTCCGTGCACCTTGGTGTTTAGTCATGCCGGCCACATGACCACGGAAACGTCTTCGGACAGCGCTGGCTCTTCAGCTTTGAAACGGAGATGAGCACCGCAACCCTAGAGTCGGACTCGACTGGCTTTCGAGCAAGGGAACCTTTATCTTTATACTGAACCTGACCTTTGTTCCTTTAAAGTCAGTATTCTCCACCCACTGACTGTGGCTGTCCAGGGTCTCAGGCAGAGGTCATGTCACTTACTGCCAGGTCCTGTCAACCGGAGACACCAGGGATTGAACCTGGGAGTGGCCCGGGGGCTGGATCAGGCCCCCGGAGGGCTCCTATCGGGCCTGCAGTGGAACTGGCTGTCTTCTGCTTCTTCTTCCAGTTCTGCTGCTGCTGCGTCATTGTAGGTTTGCAGCTTACAGATACACACCTGAACAGCATACTCGAGATTGCAACAGCACAGGCATTTTGATGCAATACTTCAGAGCAAGAGGTGTCAGTTATCAGACACTGTTAAATAAACAAAATATTGCAAGAGTGCTCATGTTTTAAGCATGTTTTTATTAACTAAAAACTACCCCTTTGTGTTTGTGTCCTTTATAAAGTTTATATCTCCGCTACCTGGCTTTACATTTTATGAGAGACGTGGCCCGTCCCAACAAGGTCTCATTTATGTCAGATCCGGCCCTCGTAACGAATGAGTTCGACGCCCCTGCTCTAGAGTCTCAGGTGAAGGCCTCTCACATCACCTACTTCCTGATCTTTTTAGTTGGAGATGCTGAGGACTGAACCTGGGAACTTCTGTACGCCAAGCAGATGCTCTACCACTGAGCCACACAGCCCCTCTTAGCACAGATTTTGGGAGCGGAGCAAACAAACAATAAGAGCGGGGCGGGCGGGGGGGAGCAGTTTGCAAAGCCGCGGTCCAGTTGCTTCCTTTCGGAACCGGACAGGATCGGCCCTTGCTTGTCCAGCCTCCCCCCGCCCGTCCGTCCGTCCGCACTGCGAGCCCCCAAAACTCTCACCTGTCAATCCCGTCCTTTGCACCCGGCTGGCCCCGCCCCCTCTCCCCATGCCTGCCCCGCCCCGCGCTTGCCGGACTGGGAAGAGCAAAGGCTTCTTAACCCTAAACGCCCTTTGGGTTTATTGCTCCCTTGCTCCCTTTTGCAAAGGAGCAAATGGGTCACCGCCACCAGCCGCCTCCGGCCGGCGAGAGACCCCCAAAGCAAATCAGTCGCCGAGAGCCAAGGAGACGCTTTGCACCGTCCGAAAGCTTGAATCGCCTCGCTCGGAGCATTGCCGTCTGAATCGGGTTTGGGCTGTTCGAGGTTCCGTAGGGCAAAACATGGCGTCCCCCGTCAGACCTACGGGGCTCTCGCTTTTCCGTACAGCAAGATGGCCGCGGCCGGTGCTTGGCGTGCCCGGGGAAGCGAAGGGACGCGGAGGGAAGCCTCAGTGGCTCAGGAAGCTTGAACGGAAATGAGAGATGCCATTCATGATTATTCAGCATACATTTCCCGTGCAAAGAGCGCTGCTTTCCGCATAGTAAAGGTAAAGGTCTCCCTTGCTCGAAAGCCAGTCGAGTCCGACTCTAGGGTTGCGGTGCTCACCTCCGTTTCCAAGCCGAAGAGCCAGCGCTGTCCGAAGACGTTTCCGTGGTCATGTGGCTGGCATGACTAAACACCAAGGCGCACGGAAAGCTGTTCCCTTCCCACCGAAGTGGTACCTATTTGTCTACTTGCAATTTCTTGCTTTCAAACTGCTAGGTTGGCAGGAGCTGGAACTAGAGACGGGAGCTCACTCCGTCATGCGGCACCCGGGTCTTGAACTGCTGAACTACTGACCTTCCACAGCCTGCAGTTCAGTGTCTTAACCCCTTGAGCCACCGCAGCTCCATGCTTTCCACATGGGGTGTTCTAAAACATGACCTGCCTGATCACCCAGGGATGCCAGCCTCCAGGTGGGACCTGGGGATCCCCTGGAATTTCAGCTTATCTCCGGAGTACAGAGATCACTTCCCCTGGAGGAAATGGATGCGCTGGAGGCTGGACTCGGTGGTATTGTACCCCACCCCACTGAGGTCCCTGTCCTCCCCAGGCTCCATCCCCAAATCTCCAGGTAGGGTTGCCAACCTCCAGGTGCTGGCTGGAGAGATCTCGGATCACAGGTGATCTCCGGGTGACAGCGATGGCCACTTTGGAAGGTAGATGCCATGGCATTGTACCTTGTTGAAGCCCCGCCCCTCCCCAAAC